TGTAGCCCTCGAGCCCTTGTCATCTCCTCTATCGATGTATGGAGACGGAAAGTCTAGAGACATCTTCAAGGAAAGGTTCAGTAATTTAGTAGAAATGGACATAAAAGTTTATATTTCATTTAAAATATTCCGGATTGACAATCTTGTTTTCCTGTCATTGGATGAGTCAGGCTGGAAGGGAACTTTCAGAGGACTCCATCCCAAACCTCGCAGTAGAGCCAACAGCAACCCTTGATTGGGTTGCTGCGGGCTCCAGATTGATATTTCCCATCAAAATTTCCAAGGGCAATCTCTTGGAAGTTGAAAGGTGTGGGGACCCCCTGTACTATCCCACCCCTGAAGAAAAAATTAAATAATAAAAAAAAAAAGTCAAATCCATTTAAATAAAAACTTCTGCGTTAGTTCAGGATGGAGCTCCATCCTTTTCTCCCCAACCTCACCCATCCAGGACCCCTTAAGCAGCGAGCACCGGGTGGTGGTGGTGAGGGGGCTGCTCCCCGGAGCTCGCTAAGGGCTGGAGCGGCAGCGGGGCGCCCCGCTGCGAGGCGGCGGCTGCGGGCAGCGGGGCTCGGGCGAGCCGGTGCGGGGGGCGGCGGCGCTGTCCCAGGCACCTACCTGCTGGCGGCGGCGGCGGCGCTCGGGTGGTACCGGCCCGGCAGCGCTCTTATAGGCGGCGGCGGGCGCGGAGCCCTATGTAAATGCCGGCACCGCCCGCCCCAGCGCACAGCCCGCAGCACCGCCGCCACGGTGAGTGCCGCGGCTCGGGGGATCGCGGCCACGCGTGTCCTGCCCCGCGTGGGGGTGATTGGGGGGGGGATGTCGGGGAGCGCCGTGGATCGGTTCCACGCGTGTTCCCTTGACTGTATGGGTGGAGGGGCTGTGGGTCGGCTCCACGCGTGTTCCCTGCCTGCGTGGGGGGGCTGCTGGATCGGTCCCACGCGTGTCCGCTTCTGCGCGGGGGTGATGGGGGTCGGAGCTGTACGTGTTGCTATTTGGCTGGGGGGGCGCTGGGGTCAGCACTGTGCGTGTCCCTGCTGAGTGTGGGGTGCGTGGGGTAATGGGGTCAGAGCCACGAGCCTCCCCGACTGGGTGGGAGGTGCCAGGGGATCGCTTGTTATGGAGTCAGGGGGGTCGGGGCCACGCTTGTGTCCCCCTCCCCGCGTGGGGGAGCAGGGAGCTAGGGCTGCACATGTTGCTGCCTGCCGAGGCGTGCCGCGGGTTTTGCTGTGCGTGTGTTGTTGCCCGTGGGGGGAGCATGGGGTTGTGCTACTCCTCTCTGACACGAGGGGCAAAGGGCGATGGGGCCATACACGTCCCTGGCTGGGTGGTGTGTGGAAGGGGCTGGGACATACGTTTCCCACCTGTGTGAGGTATGGGGTGAGATAAGGTTGTATGTCTCTGCGTCCATGGGAAACATGCAGCTGGGCCACTGGTGTCCCTGCCTGCTTGGGGCATGCACTTGTACAGGGTACTAGGAGGGTGGGACCACCCATGTCCCTGTGGGCATGGAGAACTGTGTGAGAGCAGAGTGGGATGAGGTCACACACGTCCCCCTCCTGCAGGGTGCAACGGAGCCCTGCACATCCCTGCCTGGCAGGGTTTGGAGCCATAGGGCAAGGTGGGCTGACACCGTGGTGATGCTGGAGCACCTGGCTCCAGGGGAGTCCTGGGGTGGACAAGCTGGAGGTGCTGCGGGTCCCTGTGTCATCACTGTCCATAGTGTGTGCCCAGCTGTGGGTTTTTGTGGTCAACATCCAAGGCTGGAGAGATGCAGTCTGTTCTCAAACACCAAGACTGGCTGGTGGGGGAAGGTGGCAGTGTCCCAACCTGTCCCACCAAGACTGGGGTGGTGGTGGGGGGGAGAGAAGAAAGCTGTGACTAACAGGGGCCATAAGGACAAGGAGCCTTGAGTCTGCTTTACCTGTATGGTCACCCTCAGCTCAGCCACAGCACTGCCACTCCTCCAGTGTGCTGACGGGGTTCACAGTCCAAGCTGACACATGCCTCTGGGGAGAGCTCAGGAGATGTTTGAAGGATGAAGCCTTAACTCTGGGGGAGCCAAATCTGCTGAGATCAGTTAAGCTGGAGGTCCTGGCTCTGGGGGAAGCCACATGCATGTACCCTCTGCAGCAGGGTTTTCAACTTACTCAGGGATGTAAAAAGCCCAGGTTTAAGATAGGGCACAGGTTTGCTCTCTAATGGGAAAAGACAGGTCTTGGGAAGCTGGTACATCCTTCCACTAGGTGCAGATGGAGGGAGTGACTTTCCCAAGGTATCACAGGAATCTGTGGAACAGCAAAGCCTTGAGGGCTAATCAGACCTTACAAACTTCCAGGTAAACTGATAAGACTATCAAGCTAATCCAAGCTTGCAAAACTTTCAATTGACAAGCTGCACCATGGGCTTCCAAGGTCAGCTACATTTCGTTATGCCAGGGAAGCTCCTGGGTGGATTGGCAGATTTGGAGGCAGATCTGAGAGCAGAAGGCTCTTTCTGGAGAAGCCAGGTGATGGGTCCTCAAAACATGGAGAACACACTGGAGAGAGTGAAGCTGGAGCTCTCAGCTGCAGCATGGCAAGGCATCCTGTAGGACAGCTGAGTGCTGCTCATGGTACGCCTGTCTTCCCTGGGCATGGGGCCCCAAGCTCAGATGTGCATCTTCCCCTTCTTGAGAGTGTCCTGTAAGGATTTATGTTACTCAGCCTTCCCTTTGAGGAAGTTCCCAGGAATGGCTGGAGAAAGTCTGATAGACGGGGGAGATGTAGGGTCATGTTTCCCCATGCCTGCACAGTCCAAATACTGCCATGAAAAAGTGCTCCTGGAAAATGGAGATGGCTCGACGTTTGGTTGAGAGAGACACTCTGCAGATATGCCAAATAAGTCATGGGAAGACATAAAGGTAATGGAAAGATATGGAAGAGAAGGAAGATATGGAAGATTCAACATGGGTGGAAAATAATCTATGTTTCAGGAGTCTGTAGTCCAACCTACTGCTTGGAGCAACAACACCACTGTCTCCAGCCTTGCAGCCCTTTGCACTGATTTCAGCAGGGAAGAGGAAAGATCTCCCTGGTACAAAAGCCCTGCGTGGTGATGGTGGCTGGGCGCTGCCACTCCTGGCAGAGGTCTCAAGCATCATGGCATTTCACCCATCGGACAAACTTCTGAGTTCCTCCTATGGTTCCCGCCAGCTACAGCCTCTGATGGCATCCTTAGCAGCTTCGAGGCTTGCAGCAGTCCCCTAGCACAGCACAGACCTGCTGTGAGCCCTGTGGCACAGCTGAGGAACTGTGCATGAGCTGTTTGCTGGGTGCATGCTGCAGAGGAGCTGCAGGATAACCTAGCACCACACAGCCACCCTGGCACATTGTGCTGCTGTGAAACTGTAGGCTTTGCTGGTGAGAAAGAGCCTCCTCAGGGCATGCGGCTCTTTGCAGGTGTCCCACAAAGGTTTCCCATAGAGCCAGGTGTGGGCTGGATGCCTCACTCCTATGCAGGTGGAGGCGAGAACAGAACTGAAAATGCAGTCAGTGCAGAGGTATTTCTACAGTGGTTTAGTTTTAAAATCCGTGTTATGAAAAGATAATAGAGTGGTTTGTAAGAACATTCTGTCTCTTGTATAAAGAAGGTGAGCTGTTGTGAAGGAGGAGGAGCAGGGAAATGTTACTCATTGAGAAACACCCCACTTTCTAATGTAAAAGGACAAAAGTACAGCAATCTTTGATGGGAGTGGGTTAACGTGGTTCATATGATATACGCACAACCTGGCAATGAACATCCAGTTTTACAAATGCAATAAACTGTGAGCACAAATGATAACATTTAAATCTCAAACCACTTCGTTTCTGAAGTGGATAATGTGTTTACTTACCTGTACGCTGTAATTTGCACCACTGATAATTATCAGTGATAAATCCCCATTGTGATTCCCAGGTAATCAAAAATAAAACCTACAGAACTACTGGCAACGTGTAAGCCTTACTGAAACCAGTGTTTCTTAAGGTTTGATTAGAACAATGACAAAAAGAAGCTAAAAGGATGCCTTGTGACAGAGCAATGTAGGAAGAAGGGATGTTTGACACAGAGAAACCTGTGCATCTCTGCATTTCTCGTCAATGCAGCTCATCCAAAATGATGTTAGCCCTTGGATATGCCTCTACAGTTCTGTTACTTAGCCATAGTATCGGCACAAGTGGGCAAAGACCATGTTTAGCATTTCTGTACATGGAAGGCCGGTGGCAGCTTTATAGCATTTGTGACCGAAAAATGTAACCTTTGCTTTTTATGGCCGGGAATCTCTCTGTTCAGTTATGTGTTGGCTGGGGATCTGAAGGTTCAGGTCCCACTGATGACATTTGCTCTGGATTCAGGGTCTTTGTGGAAAGTAAGATAATAAAACATCATGAGAATGGCTAGTCTCTAGTCAGTGGTGTTGGGCACTTGCTTGGAGATAACCAGGGATGACCAAGAGATCTTTACTGCAGTACTGGCACATTTGGGGGCACCTGGCTGCATGCTGAGGGTGTTCCCTTCATGTTCACAGCTGGATTTTCTTTGGATGGGACAATGTGCGTGCAGAGAAGCTGCCGGTTTAAACGTGTCTGTTTCTGTAAGGAAGAGCATACTTCTCTTAACTGAGCTGGCAGGGCTTAACATCTTCCTGCCGTAGATGATGAATTGTGAACCTACATCTGAAGCTACCCCGAGGCAGGGGTGCTGGTCCTGCCTCATCAGAAAGGCCATCTCAGGCCAGATGGTGCCTCCTGACAGAGCTTTCCCAGGGTGATGGGCTCCCGTATGGCCCCTGCCACCATCCCGCAGCCCAAGTCGGGCGATGCTGCTGATGGGTGGCTGTGGAGGTTTCACTGGGCAGTAGAAACCACAAGAGGGAGCTGACATCGTGGTCTGTCGATGTTCCCAGACTGCTGGAACAGCCCCGCTCCAGCTCACTCCTTGTCCTCTTTATTTGCAGGTTGTTTCTTCCAAGGACCCAGTGGCCAATGCAGCCCCCAGAGATGATGTTGTGTTTGACTGTGGTTCTACTGGTGACATGGACCTTGGGGGGTAAGGACAGTTCCTGGGAAGGGGGTCCAAGAATAAATCCTGGATCCAAAGTAGTCTCATGGGGTATCATATTAGAGGTGGGGATGATTCTTTTTGTGAGGAGATAAGAAAAATGAGCAAAATCCTGAGTGTGGGGGATTCCCCTGGCGTGCTTCGTGTGTGTACACAGCTTGTAACCAGGAAATGGAGCTTCTTTCTAGCCTTATAATGGCATAAATAAAAATTAACAGAAAGGAAACAAGACAAATAGTTATTGACAAAGGTTTGCTCTTAAAGCACAGTGCAAATAGAGGAGCATAACCTCAGTGTCAAGGTCTTCACTTGACTCACATAGGTAATATGGGGGTGAGAAGTAAGGGAATACCTCTGACACAGAGGAGAAAATGAAGATCCTTTCGGAATAGACTGGTGGAAGCCAGAAACCTTATACACTGATTTGGGAATATAAGGATCACAAGCATGAATTTCTTATCTTAGACACTCCTTATCCTTCAAAAGAAGGGTAAAAGTTCTCTAAATACCTGTTTGGACAGAAGATTTCAGAAAGAATATCGGAAAATATAACAGTCCAATATAATTCTGTAATGGAGATACTCTTTTCATGCGTGTTTTGTGCTGCTCACCAGATGGATCTGGTCTTTTCCAGGTGCCCAGGAAAACATCTTCTGGGAGGTCCAGCGCTATGACGGCTGGTACAACAACCTGCTGCACCACGGCCGTGGCTCGGTGGGTGAGTGCCAGGTGGGGATGGGGGTGGTGGGATGGGGGGAGCTGGCACTTTGATATCTGGACTGAGAGAGGAACCTTTTCCCACTTGAGTCCAAACCCAGGAGGTAACCAGGTAATTCCTGCTGCTCATGGTAGATCCCTAAATGCACCTGCCGTGGCTGTGTCACTCTTCCCTTCTGCACAGGCACCGTCTGCGGGCTGTGCTGGGGCTGGATTATGCCAGAGTAGAGCCACTGTGGGCCAGTTCAAAATATCTGAGGTAGGGTAGACACAGCTGTTCCCAGCAGGCATTTCACTGCCGGTCAGGGATCCCAGAGCCAGGAAAAGGTATCTTGAGCCAAAACCAGCATTCTGTTTGAGCAGCAGTTCAACACCAAGTCAGAGACAGACAAGTTCACGGTCCAGGCATTGTGCAGACCATTCTTGTGACATGAAAGCCCATCAGGGAGTTCCAGTGGGTCCTGACAAACAAGATTTCTCTCTACTAGAGCACACAGGTCAACCCTTAATATTTCAAAACAAACCTAAACCTGAAACTAAGCCAGTAAATTCATGATTTCCCCCAGTTTTAGGGATCCCCCTTCAATAGAGATGCCCACTGCACAGTTTTTTTGAAATGAAGAGTCTTTTGAAAGTCTTTTTGAAGAGTCTTTTATAAAAAAATTTGCTCATCTGTCCCCATCTCCCAGCTTTTTAGTTATGGGTCAAGCAGTGGGTGCCAAATCAGGGTGCTCTTCTCCTTTATCTCTGCACCTCTGTGGCCGTTACCTCTCCCATTTCCTACAATGTTGGCAAGTTGCCATATTTACACACGATTGTATAAAGAATACTGGCAGCTCAACACCACTCCAGTTACCACCTGGAGCACACCACTGAGCTCCCCAGGCCCCCAGAAAGCAAAGGGGATGCAGAGGGAGAGGAGAAGAACAACCATAAGGATCCCTCATTTTAAGAGCACTGATCCCTGTGCTGTAAGAATTTTGGGGAGTTGGTATCAGCACCAAAACTTGCATGTCCTTGGCCACGATAAGTGCCTCCAGTCTCTTTTATACCTTCACACACACTGGTGCACGCTGCTGCTACCATGGCTCCATGTTTCATGTGCCACTGGCCCCACACCGTGTTGTTCTGGTGCCCCAGGTGCCCGGCTGCTGCGTCTCCTGCCGGCCAACTACGCGGATGGCGTCTACCAGGCTCTGCAGGAGCCCCACGTGCCCAACGCTCGCCAGCTCAGCAACGTGGTGGCACGGGGACCCTCTGGACTGCCCTCCGGGAGGAACACAACCGTGCTGGCCGTCTTCTTCGGTAAGAGCTGGGGGCTGCCAACAGGAGGAGGATGTAGGTTTCCTATGCCCCCAGGCTGCACATCAGAGCAGTCCTCACATCCAAAAGATAAAGCCTTGCATATTGCCAACCACAGTGCCGTTCAGCATGAATTTTGGTGACCTTTGACAGTTGCCCCAAATGCTGATATTTGTCATTTGGAAACTTCCGCGTTTGTTTTAGCGGAAGAGTCATCTCATTGCAAAACGTCCAACAGACTTGATAAGAGCCACACGGTGAGTGATTGCTAGGCAGCATTGCTACAATTCAGAGCAGTTTCTGCTGTTGCTCAGAAAGCTGGAGGGGTCTTTGGTCACTGGGAAATACTGCTGGCTCACTGAGGAAACAGGTTGAATTTGTCAAAGATGTGGAGCATAAAGTTCTTACACGTCCCCAGATGCCCCAAGGTGGGCCCTGCTCATGGTGTCTGGCTAGGAGCAGCAGGAGCACTATCTGCTCCAGGTGCCAGTGACCATCCTCCCAAAAGCTGCCCCTGTTTGGCTCTCTGGCAGGTTTCCACGTTCTCTCAGAGATCCTGGCGACGGAGAAACCTGGCTGTCCCGCTGAGTTCCTGAACATCCGCATCCCGTCTGGGGACCTCGTGTTTGACCCTAAAGGAACTGGCGCCGTGGTCCTGCCCTTCCAGCGCATCCACTGGGCGCTGGAAACAGGGCAGAGCCCCAACAGCCCCCGAGAGCAGGTAGGAGATTGCACGTCCTCTGCTCTTCCTCTTTTGGATAAATTCCTCTTCACCAGATGTTTGGAATTACAGAAGCTGAGATAGCATTTCCAAAGAAAAGGAGAGCACTGCTATTTCTTTAAAAAGATAATTCTCTCAAGTGTTTAACTGTTTACAGATGAGCCCAAAGCACAGCCTCCCAAGGTGTTGCTTTGCATGGAGCAACAGCTGTTGTTGCTCAAGATGAGTACCTTTTTTTTTTTGGGGGGGGGGAGGAAAGACTCTAGATCTGCTCATGCCACTTACCTTAATGCACATTTGAGTATCTGGCATGGTTTAGCAAGAGCAGAAGAGAAAATGTAAAGGAACAGTTCACAGTCTTCCTTGGCTGCCAGAGTTTTTATTGCTTCAATCAAGATGAGCAAAGATAAGTCCGCTGGTACTGGATAAGAAACTGGTGAAACAAGCGATAGCCAGGACCTTTTTATGGCACATGTAAAGAACTTCATTAACAGACTCTTACATTTGTACCACTCCAGAAGATCAGTAATTAAGACATATCTATTAGGCAACTTTGTTCTTTAAAATATATCATGAAACTGAGTTGGTACTGTCATAAAGTTGTAAAGCCTCTTGATTTCCACGTCTCCATACTTTGTTGTGCCGAGGTTGGATGTGTTCCAAAGTCAAATGTGCTGTTTCTTTTAATTCTGGGAAGTTTCCCAGCCAAAATTGCTGAAGCAAATCCACTCTGCCCCAAACCTTTCACATGACAAAGCGTGATGAGACCAGATTAGCAGGTCACATTTTTAGCAGTATTTTTCAAACCTTAGAAAGTGAAAACTCCAGCATGCTTTCAAAAGAAAAATTATGTTTTCAAGGAAATATTTGGCAGAGGAGATACTTCAACATGCTGCCAGGGTGGTAGGACTGCCAGCTGCGAGGACAGGAATCCCCAGAGGGCACAACCCCAGTGTTCCCAGTATCCCCAGAAATGAATTTAGCCCCTTTCCAGCCCTGCCTTGCCTACGTAGGGATTCACTGACATCCAGTTCTGGGTACAGCCAAAAATAATCGGGGAAAATATATATGTGTCTATATAAGTATTATTATTTATATTACTTATTATTATATAATATATAAGAGCATATAAATGTACTTTTGAAAACCCTATGATGGTCTTTTCCCATACTTGTCACTAACTCCTAGTCAGTCCACCGGGTTGCACAGACGTTGGCCGTGTTCGTACTTTCACCCTGATAGCTTGCCCTAAAAAGAGGGGATGGGGTGGCTTGCAAGACCAGAGAGGTCAGGATGGGACTTTTCAGATGTTTTGCATCTTTTGACAGCTCAGTTCTCTAGACCAACGAGGTGACAGGCTGGCTGGATGGCAGCTCCATCTACGGCCCCTCACACTCCTGGAGCGATGCCCTGCGGAGCTTCTCGGGGGGACAGCTGGCGGCAGGGCCCAGCGGGCAGTTACCCAAGGAGACGGATGGGAGGGTCCCCATGTGGAAAGCTCTGGATCCATCCACCGGACAGGGTGGTCCTCGTGGGATCTACGGTAAGAGACAACCTGCAGCTTCCCTGGTGGTTTCCTCACGTTCGCCCCAGCTGAGTGATTCAGTGGAAGCTTTCCCCATCTCGGGGTGGGATGAGTCAAGGAAGAGGTCACCCAGTGCTGCCTTGCAGCATCCTCCCCCTCACCTTGGCAGGGAGCCATGGCCATTAATGAGCATGGCCAGGGAAATGCCTGAAGGTGACCCAAGAACAGGGTGGGGGTTGCGGGAACCCCATGGGACAGAAGGCAGCGTCCTAGCCCCAGGGGGAGGAAGATGCGTGTCTGGCAAAGATGCACGGTGAGCTGGAGGTGCTGTGTCCCCAGAAGGCATTGAGTCATTTCCCAGCATGTGCACGGAGGCTGGCGGGTGCTCGTGCCTTGGATCCAAGGCAATCTCCTCTTGGGAAAGAGGATGCAGATGATAAAAACCAGCTCAGCTTGCTTTGAATTCCTTATCTGCCTGACCTTCGGTCAGTGCTTGGGGCTTGTGCTGCCTCTTCCTTGCTCAGGTTGCTCACCTCCCCATCGAGAAATGGTGAGGTTAAAAGGGCATGGGGCTGGGGGCCTCTTGAACCATGAGCATGGAAAACCCTTGGATGGGGAGCAAGAGACAGAGGCAGGAGCTGCCCAAGTCTCCACCCACGGCTGTGTCTCCTTCTGATGTCCCTGGTGGCTCTTGCAGACCTGGGGAACGCCTGGGGGAATGAGAACCGCTTCCTGCAGGCCGAGAGCATCGCTTGGTTTCGGTACCACAACCACCTGGCCACGGAGCTGGCCCAGGCGCAACCCAGCTGGTCCGATGAGGACATCTTCCAGCACACTCGCAAGAAGGTCATCGCCACCTTCCAGGTAAGGGCCGTGACCCCATGCTCCCCAGCATTCTTCCCTGGTCACGTCCCTGACCTGGCTCCCTGTGCCCTAGAGCATCGTGCTGTACGAGTGGCTGCCCACGCTGCTGGGGAGAGCTGTCCCGGAGTACACAGGTGAGAGTCAGGGCGGCAATGGGACCGTGGGGTGTGTAGGGACTGGGGGAGCTTGGGGTCAGGGCTTGGTCCCCTTTCCTTCCATCCTGGGTGCTGGATTCAGCCGCTGCTGCCACCCTGCAGGTTACCAGCAGCACATGGACCCCAGCCTTTCACCGGAGTTCGTGGCAGCAGCGGAACTTTTTCTGGCCACCATGGTGCCGCCGGGTGTCTACAAGAGGTAGGAACATCTCAGCTGGGCAGCAGGAGCACGATGCCAGGGAAGGGGATGCCTGAGACTGGGGTCGGGGCTGGGGATGGTCCCTGCCTGGCCCCAGCTTGGGAACATCCCTGGCCAGGGGCTATGTGTCCAGCACTTCTCTGTTGTCGCAGGGACCTCAGCTGCCAGTTCCAGAATGTGTCCAGCCCTGGTGGCACCTTCCCAGCGATGCGGCTCTGCAACAACTACTGGAGCAGAGAGGTACGAGGACGGGAGCAACTACACACAGTGGAAGCTCCATTTCTCCCCAAATTGTCTTTTCATTGGGATGATCCCTCTGAGGATCCCACAAAGAGATGGGATCATCATTCCTTCATCTGATGAGGTCAGGGATGTGAGGACAAAATCTCTCTGCTGGGAGCAGAAACAAAACAGTTACTGCTGTGGGAAGTGCTGGTCCAAAGAGCAGCTCTACCCTCCTATCCCCTGCCTTGGGGTTATTTTCCAGCTTGGTCCAGGTTGGGTCGCTCTTGTCCCCATGGCTGGTGGTGGTGGCAGGACCACTTTCATGCCAAAAGCCCTGTGTGGTGCAGCTCCTGATCCAGCTGTGTCCCCAGGCTCTGCAGGACACATGTGCCATGGCCAGGAAAGTCCAGTGGTCACTTGGGTCCGTGGTGGATGTGCCCTGCTTGGGCAGTCTGTATTCAAGCTGGCAGAATGACCGGGGGGCTTCATTCAGTGCTTTACATTATGGAGGACCACAGAGGGGGCTGAAAAGGAAACTGGGTGCAGAGCGTGATGGCCAAACACAGTGTGAGAACCCCCTCATCCAGAAATACCTTCTTCAGCCACGATGGCCTTAAGACCTCAAAGTTGAGGTGACATAGAAGAGATGAGCCTGGAAGACCCATGGGTTCCCTTTGCCTGCAGCCTGTACCTCTTTGGGCACTGGTTCAAGGGTGTGGGGCAGCCCCACATCCTTTGTCTTGTCCTTGTCTTCCCATTTCCCCTCAGAGCACTGGGGTGCAGGCAGAAGACGTGGATGGCCTCCTGCTGGGGATGAGCTCACAGATTGCTGAGCGGGAGGACAACATTTTGGTGGAAGATCTCCAAGGTCTGTGCTCCCCCAAACCTCATCTGGCTTTTTTTTTTGGGGGGGAACCCTCTCTCCTGGGGCTATGCGGGGGACAAGGAGGGGAGGCAGGTCCCATCCTGCTGTCAGCACCCAACCACTTGCTCGAAGCAGCTTCAGCCCTGTTAACAGAGGTGCAGAGAAGCCACAGGACATGTGAAGCACGTCCCTGGGGCCATCCTCACAAGGGCATGGAGGTGTTCTCTATGTTCAGCAAGGCCCGTGGCAGGGCGACAAGGCCAGCTAGGCATCCAGAACAGCTGGGGTTGCCGTTTCAGCTCTTCCTTACCATCACGGTGGCTTTGGTTCAACCTGCAGATTACTGGTACGGGCCTCTGAAGTACTCCCGCACCGACTTCATGGCCAGCTGGCTGCAGCGCGGGCGCGACCTTGGCCTGCCCACCTACAACCAAGCCCGGGAGCGGTTTGGTTTGCAGCCTCTCCAGGACTGGATGGACCTTGCCCCACACCTGGAGCAAGAGGTAACAGGAAAATGGCCCAGCATGGAAACCGTGCATGTCGGGGCATCTTGGGGCAGTCCAAGAGGTAGCTGGCCTCTCCTGCAGTGTGTGGAGAGGGAAGTCAGTGCGCATCCTGCTCCAGCTCACTCCTGTGCCCTTGGGGCTGCTGCACTGGGGTTACATGGCAGGAATAAATCTGTCATGCCCTGGTGCTGAGCTCCTGTGCTGCTGTGTGCTCTGCTCCTCCTGGGGCAGATGTTTAGTTGCTCAAGTCCAAGCTATGAGCTCAAGGCTGCATGGGGCTGAGCAACCTCCCAGCCCACAGACGTGATGCCTGGCAAGTGCACTTTCCTTGCTCCTTCTGAGGCTTGCCAGGACTTTGTGAAGCCCTGACAAAATCCCCTCTGTTCACATGTGTGTGATGTGGGTTTCTGGCCAGGTCCTGAAGAACGTTGCTGACCTGTATGCCAACAACACGGCCAGGCTGGAGATGCTCCCCGGAGGCATGCTGGAGGCTGAGAGCCCCCTCTTCAGTGCCATCATCCTGGACCAGTTTGTGCGCCTGCGCGACGGCGACAGGTTCTGGTTTGAGAACACCAAGAATGGGTAAATGCCTCTTCTCCATCGGGTGGGCAGAGCAGGCTCCCTTGGTTCCTAATGCAGCATGGGGAGCAAACCCCAGCTCCCCAGGTCTCTGGGCTGAGCCGCGGCACCCCGGGGCCACCGCTTGGCTCCGCCACTGTTTCCCCAGGCTCTTCACAGAGGCAGAAGCCAGGGAGATCCGTAACACCACATTCCGTGACGTCCTGGCTGCAGTCACCTCTGGAAACCTTACAGACTTCCAGAGCAACGTGTTCGTCTGGAGGCAGGGTGAGTGCTGCTTGCAGTGCCAGGGCGAGGGGGCGAACAACACCAGGCTGCGATGCATGACAGTGAGGAGCATGCAAAATGCACGGGTTGCACGAGTTGAAAGTAGGCTGAAGTCCAGGCATCTGCATTGCACGAGTCCTGGAAGGATCCCCAGGTACAAAAGATGCAACGATGCCCCGGGAGGTTGTGCTGGGGTTAAGGCTTGGCCTCTGCCTACCCCGTGCTGTGTCATGCTCCTCACTGACGTGTCCTTTTTCTGCTTCCATATACATGCACACACAGGTCTGCAGGTTAAACGTGAGCAACCTGAAACACAAAGAAGTTCTGTAGATGACTTAAGCCTTGCGTACCATAGCTGTGTAACTCTGCCTGCTTCTGCCTTTCATCAGCTGCCCGGGGTTGGTTAACCGGGGCTGCTGGGAGGGTGGCCAGGCTTTCCTGCAACTGTGCTTGCAACAACACCGTGAACTGCACCAGCCAGATTTCAGCCCGCTGAGGGCTCAGGGCTTGCATTCCTGTGCAGTTTTGATTTCCCACCAGGCTAGGAGCAGCCTTAAAGCCCCAAGTCCCACACTTATGCAGTCCATCACCTGGGTTACCTCCTGTGCTGTCCTTGCAATGAGGTTTTCTCTCCCCACTGAGACCCAGAGAGTCCTGGCACTATCCACAGCCCGTCTTTTCCTCTTGGGATTTAGCCACACCTTTCCCATGTACTGAAAGCCTTTTATCCAGCACACATTCCAGCCCTTGCAAGGCATTTTGGTTCCCTTGGCAGTGCACCAGGAGGACTCCCTGGATTTGCAGCACCCAGCTGGCAGCCCAGACAAGCAGAGGCCCTGAGCCCCAGCTTGCCATGGCCCAAGGTGCTTCTTACTCACTGGAGAGGTGATGGTGCTGAGCTCCACAGAGCCCAGTTCTGCACGTGGTTTGGTGTGGCATGCAAAGGCTCAGCCTGAAAACAAGGCTTGTCTCCTGAAGATCTCAAGCAGCCCCATTTGCAGGGTTTCCTGGGTCACTTGGCAATGAACCTCACCAGCACTTCAGTCGCAGTGGTTCCTGGAGATAGTGGAGGTGAGAAGGGTAAAAGTCCTGTGACGTTCACTGCCTGTCTCCCCCCATGCAGGAGACCCGTGCCCCCAGCCCCAGCAGCTGACAGCTGAACTCCTGGCCAACTGCACGCCCATGACCGTCCTGGACTACTTTGAAGGCAGTGGTGCAGGCTTCGGGATCATCATTGTTATTCTCTTCTGCCTGCCTTTAGGTTTGCCTCCCCATTTCTTTACCCATCTCCTCTCCTGCTGGAGAAAGGGGCTGAGTGCCCATGGGCCCCTCTCTGCCTTGATCAAACAAGTGATGCTGCCAAAGCAGGAAGGGGCTTTGGGGTATCTCATGCATCCTCCTCCCGTGTGTCCCCAGTGAGTCTGTTTGCTGCCTGGATCGTTGCCGTTCTCCGCAAGAGAGATTTCAAGAAGCTGGACAAGAAGAAGGCCAGCGTGCGGCGGGAGGTGGCCAGCGAGGCGATACACGGTGAGGTGGCACCATCGATCGCATGGTGGTGCCTGGTGATGCTCCTGAAGGCAGGGCACATATCCAGGCATCACAGCTATTGGGCTTGGATCTTATAGCTAAACTGGATATATTCCAACCCAATCCATCCTGTGACCCAGATCACTCCTTACCTGAAGAAAATCCATGTAGGCAATTGCACTAGTAGCTACAGAACAGGGTCTGTATCAATTTGCTCTGGACATGAAAAAATTCACCTCCCTGCTCCATGAGCTGTACATGAGCTCTGTGCCCATGCACATGAGGTCTGTGTTTGGGAGAGCATCATTTTAATATGAGTTTGGTCTCCTGGCAGATGCTCAGCCAGCAGTTAGAGAATAAATAAAACTGAGAACTGCTAGTCTAAATTTTCAGAAATCGGATGGGAGAGCTTACCCCTGACACTTGTGCATGCTTGTACCATTGCACCAACAATGGCACAGTTATTGCAGCAAAGGCAGGCTGTGCAGTAGCAATCCAGGTGGCCCCCAGAGTGTTTTCTGTGCTGTTTGTACTGGCAGGGAAGGAATGAAGGGTTGCCAGCCCTAGGTCGCAAGCTGAATGCAATCTCTCACAAGCCACGTTGGGGTGAAGGAGGTGCTGGGATGAACAGAAGCGCAGGTGCCCCTTTCTGACTGCGTGCTGTGCTCTGTCCCCTCAGCCATGGAGTGGCACGGTCCCAAGACAGACAGCTCTCCTGTCTACATTCAGCTCCAAGCTGACAAAGTGCTCAAAGTGCTGGATGGGAGAGGGTCGGTGCTGCGAAGCATCAGCCTGAAAGCCCATGGAAGGGTGGAGGTGATCCTCTCCAACAACAAAGGGAACAAGGCTCTGCTGCTGAAGAGCCCCAAGGAGTACGACCTGGTGAGTACCATGACACCTGGAGAGGGCCTCCTCTGGACCCTCCACCATCCTCTGCTGCTGCTCATGGCACCATTCAGACCTGGGCTCTGGGATCCCAGGGCAGGGTAGGTCCCTGAAGGGTGGCTGTGACCTCCTGAGAGCCACCAGCTTGTACCATGGAGCATCCACTGTGGTGAACAGCAGCAATTTGTACCGAGCTGGGGGAGGTGGATTTGGTAGGGGAGGTCAGGCCACTAAAACATACTGAGGAGAGCATGGGCTTTTGGCTGGCTGGGCGTGATGTCCAGCCCCAGCCTGGCTGAGCCTCTGCCACTCACAGCTTTTGGTGGGGCTTCGGGCAGGTGCTGCTGTTCAACGAGGAGGCAGAGAGGAGCAACTTCATGGGGAAGCTACGAGAATACTTGAGAAAGAGCTGCCTTGATCTCCTTGTGTCCGAGACGAAGGAGCAGAGCCTGCTGAAACGGGCAGTCACCCAGGAGCAGAGGAAACAAATTCTGGAGACTTTCTTCAGGCACCTGTTTGCTCAGGTATGTTTGGGTGTGGCAGGCTCTGATGCATGGAAGAAGGTATTTCTGTATTGACTGAGCAATGAATGTTGCTGCTGTTGGGCTCTGTAAGAGCTGTTAAGCCACGCACAAGGAAGCTGCTAACATTTTCAGGACCAAGGGACCTTTTCCCTTGTAGAAAACAAAGGGATTTCTGCTGTGGTGATATGAGTGGTTAAAGTTGCAAAGAGACTTTTGTGTGATGCAGCCACAGCCTCTGTAATGGTCAGTGGTGCACAATACAGCATAAAATCTGTATTGTGCAGGAGAAACACAAGACTTCCCCGTGGCATCTGCCACGAATTCTGTGCCAAGAGAACCTCCAGTCCTTGTGCAATAGATTTTCCATGCAAGCACCAACCTGCTGCTCTGCCAGCACTCACGGGATTTGTTTTGTGGGACACAACCTGCAGGTGCTGGACATCGACGAGTCCGATGCTGGAGAGCTCAACTTTGAGTCCTCACAGAAGGCAAAGGAGTCTCTGACATGTGAGCTGAGCAGGGCTGAGTTCGCCGAGGCCCTTGGGCTCAAAGCCCACTCCATGTTCGTGGACTCCATGTTCTCCTTGGCGGACAAGGACGGCAATGGCTACATCTCCTTCAGGGAGTTCCTGGACATCTTGGTGGTCTTCATGAAAGGTGGGAACTGCTGGGGGTTAGGGTCTTCATCTGTTGCCCTGAGCCCCATTTCCAGGCTGTGACAATGCCACCAGCAGAGTGAAGGACAAGATCCACCCAGCAGGTCAATCTGTAGGCACTTCTACAGCTTACAGTGCCCTTCAAGGGGCAGTGACAATGTAATGATTTCTGTGAGGCTGTTCATGAGGGGAGCTATCTCAGAGCAGTGATTTACTGATCAGTGATCTTCCACGTGCAACTCTGCCCTACCTCCTGAATGTACCATGCAGCTATCCTTGGCAGCTGATAACAGCCATATCTGGTATCAGTTCTCGTCATCCCTAATGATCACTGGAAAGACAGATTCACAGGTGGAGGTGGTGAATGCCAGATTCAATCACAGCAGTTCCCAGAAAATTTCTTTGCTATGCAAAAGTGCATCATGAGTTTGCAAAATAATGCCCAACAACGGATGTGTGTTTACCCAACCTTGCACTTGGGAAAGTCAAGCAGAAGGGCAGCACAGGGCTCTGAAAGCAAATTCAGCTGCCATTCAGACTGTGATCAGCAGTGTGGTTTCAGACTGTTGAGAGCTGTGTGGCTTCACTGATGCAGGTCCAGGGTCTCAAAGACATGTCTGAAAACACCTTTGTTGGTGAAACTAGAATCTTGTTGTTATTTTACCTCTTTCCCTTGCCACCAGGGTCCTCAGAGGAGAAATCCAAGGTGATGTTCAGGATGTATGACATTGATGAGAATGGGTTCCTCTCCAAGGAGGAGTTTCTGAGGATGCTCAGGTACTTCTCTTCAGCCTGCTAAGCATTTTCACAATATCTGAAGTTAAAAGTGTCTTCACAAGCAATTCCCAGCTTCTGTGCCTCAGACCCCAAGGAAGTTACACGAGAGCCCCTGGGCTCAGCACTGACAACCAGGAGCCCATTTCTCCCGTGAAACTTGTCTGGGGCTCTGCCCTGTGTTATTTCAAGGTCTCAAGCTATGGTCCTCTGAAGTTCTCGTCTCTCCTCCTTGCTCCAGGTCCTTCATTGAGATCTCCAACAACTGCCTGTCAAGGGAGCAGGCAGAGCAGGTGACCGAGTCCATGTTCCGGGCCTCAGGGTTTCAGGACAGGGATGAGCTGACGTGGGAGGATTTCCACTACATGCTGCGGGACCACGACAGCGAGCTTCGTTTCACCCAGCTCTGCATCAAAGGTCAGCGGGAAATGGGCAGGAGCTCTGGGTTGCCCCAGGGCCTGCAGGACTTGGGGGGGGGGAACAGCAGCACCCATACCTAGCTCCCCAGTCTTGTCCTATCAATCTTTCCAATCCCAATTCTCCATGGGGAAGTAAGTGGGCATGGGCTGTCGCTCCTCGCACGACACATTTTGCTCCGTGCAGAGCCTCTCCCCGACACAGCCCTGCTCAGCAGAGGTGCCAACACCTCGTTCACCGTATCACCCCTCTGTAAATGGCTGTTTTGTCCTTTTATCTCCTGAAAGGTGTCCCCGAGGTGTTCAAGAAAAACCTGCACAACCGTGTCTCCTTCATAAAGAAAGAGCCCAGAGGGTAAGTGCTCTCACTCATGCAATTATTATTTTTTCTCCTCCTTCTGCCCTTATGCACACCCATCCTTCACCACAGCTTCTCCAGCAAATGCTCCTCCCAGGCTTTTGCACCCCCAGCTCTGGGGATGGGGGGGTTACCATGTGGGGTCATGCCTGTGAGCAAGCCACCACTGCAGGGCTGCTGCCCTTTGCCCTCCCGTGGCTCCTGCAGAGCCCCCGCTGCATCTCCTGCACGGCTGGGGTGTCTCGGAGCAGCGGGGGGAGTCCGGCCTCTCCTGTCAGAGGGACAGCGGGTTATCTTGGAGGGAACCCACCCCGTGTGCCGAGCAGTTAGGGTTCACACCAGCAGGACACCTTGGCAGCTGAGCCTGAGATGGAAAGTGTTCATGGGGTGGCAGTAGGGAAAATTTTGGCGAGGCCAGGCTGGCTGCTGGCTGTGCACAGACAGCTTTAGGTGAGACATACCCCTCTTTCTGGCAGAACTGTCTCAGATGGGGAGAGAGACCCAAACCTGGAGACGGTGGCCCACTACAGGGATCAAGAAGGGCAGGAGCTGAGGAAGAGAACAGGCAGAAAGTGAGTATGCTCCTCTCCTCCTCGGGTTTCTTGCGTCTGTTCACACCATAGGCCAAGTGGCACGGCTGCAGGGAGGGGATGCCAGCCCCAGCCCCAGCAGGCACATCAAGCGCTTGCTGAGCACCTACTGTGGGGACAGCAAAGAGCTGGCCCCTTTCCTGCTGTAGCTGGAGAGGCGTTGGTGTTTCTCCGATGACAAAACCAAATAATAACAAAGCGGTCAGCTCTGGAGAACATGACTACTTTTTGGGGTGTATGCCTTACGCATGGAGAGAGACATCTCATGGCAAGTCCTACCTTCACTCCTCTGCCCCTTGGGACTCTGCTAATTCACGTGTGGGCTGCCTGCAAGAGCTGCAGGAGAGGCTCCTGTCCTCACCGCTGTGTCACTGCCAAATACTTAAATAAGAAAGCAGTTAACTGGCTGTTTTTCATGGCCAGAAGTAATATACTTTTTATAATAACCTGGTTTGCCTTGACAGTTCCAAGTACCTTACCTGACCCCAGGATATTTTTGAAGGTTTGAATATTACAACAAGAATCATCTTTTATGGTTCTTATCTGTGGTTTCATTTGTGAGTCATTATGTGATGATTTGTTATGATCTTTCACGTAGACCAGCTGATGGCCTGAGATCATCGCTGGTACTGTGTGTGGTCACTGCAGTGGCTGCCGTGCAGAGGTGGTTGCAGTGCTGCAGAGGGAGGAAGATGCATTAATCTGGACCCTGCAGCCCACCACATGGATCAGGAGGACCCCGAGCCATGCCCTTCTGGTTGAACCTCAAAATGACGCCGGTCTTCCTGTTTTTGCCAGGGCAAATCAGTACCAGCTGCATTTGTACACCGAAGCACAGCGGAAGAAGTACCAGCGAAACAAAGTTCAGCAGAAGATCCAGGAGTTCAAGCGTTTCATTGAGAATTACCGGCGCCACATCGTCTGCGTGGTCCTGTTCTCAGCCATCACCGCCGGCTTGTTTGTGGAGAGGGCATACTGTGAGTGTCCCCCCAGCCCCTTTGGAGGAGCTGCTCGCTGCGTGGGGCACACTGGGGTGCAAAAGGTCCCGGCACAGCTTTGAACAACAGCATTGGTCTTCCCCTGGCATAACCAAAGAATTCCAGTTTCAAAGCCACACCAGGCTGCCATCTAGAGAGGGCTTCAAGAGCTGTTGGGTTGGAGATCTCACCGCCTTGCCAGGCCTGTGCCAGTGTTTGGTCATCTTCCCTGTGAAGTGTTTTTATTTTACATCTAACTTGAATTTCCCTCTGTGAGAGTCACGTTGTTGCCTCTCATCCTCTCACTGTGCAGCTCTGAAAAAGAGCATGGCTCCTTCCCCTCTGTAACACCCACTACGTGGTGGCACGCAGCACTGTGCTCCCTGCCCCATCTTCTCCAGCCTGACCAAGCCCACTTCCCTCACCCTCTGCCCTGTGGGACGTGTCCCAGCTCCCACCCATCCCACACAGCGCCATCCAAATGATGTTTTCTTGGTGGAGCCACACAAACGGCTGTCCCCTGATCCTCACCACCAGGTACATGACGTGCGCTCTGCTCTCTTCCCCCCAGACTACGCCTTTGCATCCCCCAGCACTGGAATTGCCCAGACCACCTTTGTCGGGATCATCATCTCCCGAGGATCAGCCGCCTGCGTCTCCTTCATGTACTCCTACATCCTGCTCACCATGTGCCGCAACCTCATCACCGTCCTGCGGGAGACGTTCCTCAATCACTACATCCCCTTTGATGCCGCCGTGGACTTCCACCGCTGGATTGCCATGGCAGCCCTGATTTTCTCAGGTGGGCGAGCTGCTGGCAGGGGGAATCACCATGTCCCTGGCACAACAGCAGTGTTGCCAGGTCTCCACTCACTGCAGTGGTGATGCTTTTCTCTCATGGCTTCTGTCTCCTACAGTGCTCCACACCGCGGGTCACATAGTCAACGTCTACATCTTCTCAGTCACGCCTCTCAGCGTCTTGTCCTGCCTCTTTTCCAGCGTCTTTATGAACGATGGGTAGGTGAAGTTTAAAGCAGAGCATGTTAGGCATAGATGGGAGTGAAAGTGGAAGCCAGGAGCTTGGTTTCTCCCAGGTCTGCCGACTCCCTGGTGCAATTTTTTGTCCCTCCTCTAGGTCACAGCTCCCTCAGAAGTATTACTGGTGGGTCTTCCAGTCCATTCCAGGTGAGGATGGCAGGCAGTCCTCTGCCCTGCTCCAGGGGAGCCCCATGAGGGATCCCAGATTCCCACCAGCACCTCCCAACCCCTTTCACAGGCATGACAGGAGTGCTGCTGCTCATCATCCTGGCCGTCATGTACGTGTTCGCCACCCACCACTTCCGACGTGTCAGCTTCCAGGCCTTCTGGATCACCCACCACCTCTACGTGCTGCTCTACGTCCTGGTAAAGCCTATGGGACGGGGAGGGAGGGACAGGGTCGATGTACCACAAGCCCATGGGAGCTCCCAAGGGACCCAGTGGCCCCAGTCCTAGCACCCCACTGCTCCTGAGCTGCCACAGAACCGGCAAAGGCTGTGCCAAGCCCTGTGCTGATGAGGGCTCCCCCCTGCCCTTGCCCAGGTCATCATCCACGGCAGCTACGCTCTGGTCCAGCAGCCCCGCTTCCACATCTACTTCATCATCCCAGCTCTCATCTACGGCGCAGACAAGCTGCTCAGCCTGAGCAGGAAGAAGGTGGAGATCAATGTGGTGAAAGCCGAGCTCCTGCCCTCAGGTACTGCATCCCTCTGGCCGCACAGTGCCAGGTCAGCCCAGCACAGCCTCTCCAGCATGCTGAGCTCTGTGCCTGGCTCCACCATTTGTCCTCAAGCTCTGTCCCAGCCATCACTAGGCCAGCTCTAGTGTTCTGTCTTTCCTTGAGCCTTTCCACCACTCAACACCTCCACCTTAACGACAGAGGTAACGAGGTCCCTGTCCCCCCTCCAGGCGTCACCCACCTGCGGTTCCAGCGGCCGCAGGACTTTGACTACAAGTCCGGGCAGTGGGTGCGCATCGCCTGCATGGCCCTGGGCACCACCGAGTACCACCCCTTCACCCTCACCTCGGCACCCCACGAGGACACTCTGAGCCTGCACATCCGTGCCGTGGGGCCCTGGACCACCCGCCTGCGGGAGCTCTATGCCCCGGAGAGCCTGGCTGTCCTCGGCAAGCTGCCCAAGGTGAGGCGTCCCTCCGGGGATGGGAACACCCAAGCCAAGAGCATCTCGGTGCCGGCTTGTGCCTGGCCCAAAACACCTCTCTAGCCCTGAAGGTGACCGAGCCCTGGGCAAGCAGAGGGAGGTTCTCTGCTGATGGCTGGCTCCTTTCTAGCTCTATCTGGACGGGCCCTTCGGGGAGGGCCACCAGGAGTGGCACAAGTTTGAGGTGTCGGTGTTGGTGGGAGGAGGCATCGGGGTGACGCCCTTCGCATCCATCCTCAAGGACCTGGTCTTCAAGTCGTCCATCAACTCCAAGCTGATGTGTAAGAAGGTAAGGGGAAGCATCTGGAGGACAAGAGCCCTCCTGAGATGAAATCCCCTGTTACCCAGCTGAGAAGAGCCCCGCAGATCTATGGAGGGCTCCCAGCCCTATGCAGAGCCTCATCCCTCTTTTTTGCAGATCTATTTCATCTGGGTGACACGCACACAGCGGCAGTTCGAGTGGCTGGCAGACATCATCCGCGAGGTGGAGGAGGCAGACAAGAACGAGCTGGTCTCCGTGCACATCTACATCACGCAGCTGGCCGAGAAGTTCGACCTGCGCACCACCATGCTGGTGAGCCCTGTGCCAGGCCCACCCGCGGGGAGGCCGCCAGGCCCTGCTGGGCCGCCTGACGTGTGCTGATCTCTCTTCCAGTACATCTGCGAGCGGCACTTCCAGAAGGTGCTGAACAAGAGCCTGTTCACGGGGCTGCGCTCCATCACCCATTTTGGGCGCCCGCCGTTCGTACCCTTCTTCGACTCGCTGCAGGAGGTGCACCCTGAGGTTTGTGCCACCGATCTGCTTGGGGACAGGGGGGGACACCCACCTGTAGGTGTGGAGGACACTGGAGGCACCACTCCCAGCCTTTCCTCAAGGTCCATAAACCTCTCCTTTCCCTCCGGTGCTGAGATGAGCCGTGAGGGTCAACAATGTCCCACCACAGCCACATGTGCCCCTCCAGTGCCTGGAGCTGGCACAGGACACAGGGCTCCAAGCCTGAGGTCCTCATCCTTCCCCCTGTAACTCCCCAGGGAGGTGACAACCTCCCCAAGAGCCCCCTCAGGCTGGTGTCTGTGCCTGAAGCTTCCAGAGCAGGCTGACCCCTTTGTCTGCCCTCCTCCCCCAGGTGCACAAGATCGGGGTGTTCAGCTGTGGTCCGCCTGGAATGACGAAGAGCGTGGAGAAGGCGTGCCAGCAGCTGAACAAGAAGGACCAGGCCTACTTTGCACATCACTACGAGAACTTCTAACCCTACCCACATTTTACTCCTGTGGACTGCAGTCGCCATGGGAAATGTGTGTTTGACCCCAGCACCCATGCAGCGAGGCTTCGGGGGTGGTTGTGGTCCCAGGCTCCCATCTTCTGCCATCCCTGGAAGAAACCCACCCATGACCACGAGCAGCCTGGCACACACAGGAGCCGAGACCCGGTGCTTGGTGCACCAGCAGAACACTGCTCTCCTGGCATTGCCCTGGCCGTGAGCCCCACGTGCTGGCAGGCTTGTCTGTCTCAATGCAGGAACCCAAAATTTGGTTCAAGCCCAGCTCCGCCACCTTGATCCTGCAAGCTGGAGGCCCTGTGGGGTCACAGGGGAATGGCTCTGAAGCACTTCAGGAAAGGGGCTTGGTGCCTGCACAACCCCAATTCACAGCTTTGCCCACAGACCTGGGCAGGGGACACGCACATGGGGTGAGGAGGCAGTGAGCTCCCCACTGCCCCTCTCCTGCAAACGGGCTCAGCTTCGCTACTGTGCCTGCTCATCAGTGCTCTGAGCCTTCCCTGGGTTTGCTTAGGGCCTTAGCAGTGTTTGTGTTGGCTTCTTTCAGCAGCATCCCCATCACTTTGATCAGGGATCATTTGTGCTTGTTTAACTAATGCCTGGCTATGCATCGCTGGGCTGCTGCTCTCGCGGGCTGTGATTGAGCAACAGGATTTTATCTTTGCTTAAATAAAGCTGACTGAAGTTTTCAATCACTTTTTGAGTTCTGTGCTGCGTCTGTCACCTGCAGGCTTGCAATAGTTGTAGCATCACATGGGTCTTGCTCCCATTACAGAGCATTTGCACCATCCCACTGGGAAACACATTAAACAGGAGCAAGTTTCCCCTCCACTGGTAATATAGAAGGGCTGGGGGTGGGAGGGATAAGGACTTGAGCCCCATCGACTGTGTCCTAGCATCCCCAGCAACACCCCCGCAGTGGCAATGCCCCCAGTGAAACCTTGCTCAGGATGACACATTAACCCAGTTAATCTGAGCGGTACTTTGACCACTTCTACAATGACTAAGGGAAGTCTGCCCAGGCTATACCAGCCCCATAAAACACAGCATGACCTTGCAGGCTTTTCTTCTGCCTAATCACCTTTGACACCTCTGCCATCAGCTCTGATGCATAAGCACTTGGGTCATTTAAGGTTTCGCTGAGCTCACCCACAGCCTGCTGAGACTGAGCAGCCCAGGTGCTACACACAAGGTCACAGACCCCTTCAAACCACCCACCCCACACACTTCAGAGGACACAGAGACACCAGGTAGGTAGCATTTATTGTGGAAAGTCCAGTACCGGCCCAAGAAAGGGATCTCAGATTGATCTCCTAGTATTAAAATTAGCATGACTGTAATCTAAAATTATGTTTTATCTGTAACCTGTCCCCTCGCTTAGTACCTCATTCATGGCTCACTAACTCAGCAGGAAGGGCTGATACACCCGAGGAGTTACAATTCCTTCATAGTGGTAAAACCTTTGAGTGATGCGCTCCTACTGCATGTCCCCCCATGCTAAAAGCAAGCTGTGGCCCCCACCAGCAGCCCCTCCTTGGGAGCCACGTTAGGACCAGGATCTGGTCTCCAAGCCAAAGACAGGGCAGTGTCCATGCAAACACTCCAGACCGCTCTGTAGCAGTCCTTTCTGCCCCACAGGGAGCTGCTGGGGGGGGACTACACAGCAGATATGGTCCCAGCTGGCCTCCAGCCTAGCTTCTCCTTGAAAAAGCCCTGGGCTTTTGGGGCCTGCAGTTTGCTGTTTGTAAAGAGCATGGGGAGAACGACCTGAATGTACAGATGCACCCTGCCAAGACAGGCTGGCTGGGTTTTGTTCCACAGGCTGTTACAGTCCCTGAGGTGTGCTCACACAAGGCCATCCCCTGCCCAGGGATTGCCACATGGGAAGGGCTGCAGCAAGCACCTCTGTCCTTGCTTCACCCATGCAGCTGGTGCCAGCCTCCCACAGTCTGTCTGTGCAGACAAACCCGTGGCCACGCGGGAGGCTGTGTGGCACATGCAGAGAGACCCAAGCTCACCCACATGTGTGGTCTGCTGGAGAAGAGCCGTCTGCGTGACCCATCTAATCGAAGAGCAGTGTTTTGATTCAAGCTAGTTCCTATTAGTTCTCCATTTGTATCTGCCTGCTAATACTCAAATCATGCACCCCTCAGTGCCCCTCATTATCATTTGATTTTTTAGCTCTATTACAAAGCACTGCCTGCATAAGGTGACTGGAAACATGCATCAGCCATACATCAGCCTCCTGTGGCTTCATGCTTCTCATCTCAGGCAGGCGGTGTGATGGGGAGAGGGCCGGGCACCGCGGCGTATCAGGGGTTGTGGTCAGTGGGGTCGCACTTCAGCATAACTTTTACCCCCTCGCCCCTCTTCGTGGCCTCAAACGCCTCAAGAGCCTTTTCCAGGGGGAAGCGGTGTGTGACCAAGGGCTTGACATTGATCCGCTTGGATGCCAGCAAGGCAATTGCCACGGGCCACCTGCAAGGGAAACAGCGAGCAGAAGATGAGAGCAGTCACCAGCTTGGAGCCATAAGGAAAGAGCACAGAGGAGCCTGGCTTCATTACAGTAATTTCCTCAGCCCAGGCAACCAAGGGAGTTTTGCCTGGAAATGATCTTCTGGAGAAGGAACCTCAAGCATCAGGTACGTGAGCTGGGACACGCCAGCTGCTTCGGGCTGTCAAGCACCATAAAGGCAGGCAGGGCTATATGCAAACAGCTGGCTGTGCTTCACCCTGGGGTGGTTTTACCATGCTGGACAGCTGAAGTCCACCACAGCCACTCTCACTTCCCCCTCCTTAGAGGTAAAAGGGGGAGAAAATATGATGAAAAGGGCTCAAAGGTTGAGATAAGGACAGGGAGATCACTCAGCAATTATCACCATGGGCAAACAGACACAGCATAGGGAGATTATGTCATTTATTGTCCATCACTAGCAGACTAGAGCAATGAGAAACTAAAAACAAACTGAAAACACCTTCCCTCACCCACCCTCTCCTACATCCTCCTCCTGAGCAGCACAGGGGACAGAGGAATGGGGGCTGAGGTCAGTCCCTAACACTTCATCTCTGCCGCTCCTTCACGGACCCTCCCTGCCCCTGATCCAAGTGGGGTCCCTCCCAAGGGGGCTGCCCACAAGAAGCAGCTCTTCAAGAACTGCTCCCACACAGCTCTGTACCACGGGGTCCATCCCCCAGAAGCAAATGGGTCCCCCATGGGTGGGCGGCAGCTCCCCCCAGACCCCCTGCTCCTGCATGGGCTCCTCTCCACGGGCTGCAGCTCCAGCCCGGGGCCTGCTCCTGCGGGGGCTCTCCATGGGCCACAGCCTCCTCCAGGCCACATCCACCTGCTCCACCGGGGGCTCCTCCACCCATGGGGGGGCTGCAGCATGGAGATCTGCTCCATGTGGGACCCATGGGCTGCAGGGGGACAGCCTGCTCCACCAGGGGCCTCTCCACAGGCCACACGGGAACTTGGAGCACCTCCTGCCCTCCTGCTGCACTCACCTTGGGGGCTGCAGGGTTGGTTCTCACTCTTCTCTCCCAGCTGCTGTTATACAGCAGTTGTATTTTTTTGTTTGTTTGTGTTCGGTTTTTTGTTTGTTTGTTTGTTGTTGTTGTTTTTTCCCTTTCTTAAATCTGCTCTCATAGAGGCACAACCAGCATCGCTCATGGCTCAGCTCTGGCCAGCAGCAGGTCCCTTTTTGAACCATCTGGAGCTGGCTCTGATCTGACATGGGGCAGCTGCTGGGCTTTTCTCACAGACGCCACCCCTACAGCCCCCCTGCTACCAAGTCCTTGCCACGTAAAACCAATACACATCCTCAGGAGGCTGAGCAAGTGAAAATCATGGGAAAAAAATGTATATTGGAAGTACTGAATTAAAAACAATTGCTGCACGCTGCTCGTCTCTTGCTCTGCCTCCTTGCTAGCAGAATGATTGCTGTGGAGTTCAGACTCACCAACTCAGTGCAGGGAGAAGAAAAGAGAATCCTGTCAGCTTCCAACCTCTTCTTTGGCAGAGACTCACTCAATTTGATTGCCTTGCCATTCCATTTCAATGGGCCAAATTAGAGTGATGGGAGATGCAGCAGCTAATCCAATTCCCAAACTGCATACTTGAAGACATTTCTCATTTTAAGAAGGAGCTTGGCAGTGGCTAAGACTAAATCCTATAAAGCTTTCCTGGAAATCAACCTCTAGAGACTAGGCAATGATTCTTGCTCAGCTAGCAAGAAACTGAAGCTCTGAGCACAGCAGAAGCCAGGCTGCAAATGTGCGATGCTGTGTCTCAAGCCCTGTAACAAAACCAAAGAGGACAGCTGGGCTTCTCCTGCCTTCAGTGCTAGGCCAACTTTCAGTATGCTCAAAGACCTGCTTGTTTGCAAGCTGTGCAGTTCAGTTCTCCGTAGAGTGCATATGCCTTCAAACTGGCTGGTGACATATCTTCAGCTCCAGCAAAATATGAAGACTAAACATGGCCCTTGCTCATGCAAGTATGCACTGATCTCCACCAAGACTGATGATCTGGTTTCCTTCCATGACGAGCAAGGCGAGCAGAGCCAGGCACCACCAGCAAGGCTGGGTATGCATGACTTGGCACAGGATGTGGCATTTGGGACTCTGACTCTTTGCCCAGAATTAAGATTCCCCATATCCTTTGCCTCAAAATGGACAATACAACACCTAGGAAGGCAGATGCCAGCATGCAGACAGCTTTTCACAAAGCAGTGTGGAAGGACGAGTACCAGGCCAAGCTGCTGCTTAGACACCTCCCAGCACAAAGGGTTGAAAGCAGCTAAAAGCTGTGTTGCTCTCAGGCAGTCTTCTCAATGAGTCAGCTCACTTGTGGACAAGTCAGTCTCATTCAAAACACCTCTAGTACCTCGACTTCCCTTTCTACAGGGCACAAATGTTAAGTATGGGTGTGTTTTTTTTTTCATTTTGGCCTGCTTGCTTGCAGCAGAGTAAGGGTTTTTTGTGTCTGTACCTTTCTCTGTGCCAAATGATGTGTGAAATGGGACAGTAGGCAGGCTGGTTGTTGTGGTCAAGTCTACAGTGAAGGGCTCTACCCAGAACCAAGGGATAAAATGCAAGACGTATCAGGCAGACTGTCTGCACTGCAGACAGATTTCAGAGTGAGTGAAATGAGGTTTAACCAACTGTATGGAAAAACAGCCTTTTCCATGCCCTTTCTCTTTGTGGAGAGCAAGAATTTCTAAAGGACATCGAGGATGAAAGACTCAGAGACACATCAGCCCACCCAGCCCTGCACAAGACTCACGTGTTGCAGTAGCGGAATATCCCCCGGATATCCACCTCCCGCACAGCAGCGTTCACGATGGGCACGGTCACCATCTCAGGCCCCAGCCCAACCAGCACCAGTGTCCCACCAGAACGAGTGGCCTGAAGAAAAGACACACAAATGCATTACATTTTGCAAAATGCAATTAGTCGCCAGACCCTGCTCAGCTGTCTGTAAAAAATAAAATAAAAATAAAGCTGTTCTTGTATGATGGACTGCCTGGGGCACGGTGGAGAAGCTGGGGAGAGGCAGGATGCTGTCAGGAGGCTGTAAGTGTGAAACATGAGATAAACAAGGCTTAAAAAACAATCTTTCGAAAATCCCTGAAGGATTTTGGTATCTAAATCTCATTCTGAAAAATGACTGGCACTTAGAAGTACAATAAGTACCTCT